GTAAAATTTTGTGTAATTAAATTTTAATTCAAATGTATCAAGTTGGTGTATCATGCTTAATGAGATGACCAATAATACAAAAATGCTGTTTATAATCCCGTTTAAGAAAACGCTTCAAGTTATCACACTTTGTTAATAGTTGTTTCTAAAATAACAAATAAGATATATATTAGCTTTATTTACTATATAGTATTTTTTTTTATTTTGCAAATACTTATCTATCTGAATTACATTTTCTGCTATATATTTTTGAATTAGTAAAGTAAGATCCAAAAAAACTTCATAACTATATTGTGAACACATATGGCATAATCCACCCAAATCTTCCAGATATTTCCTTCCAACCTAGTATAAAAACTAGTACAATGCATTCCATCTAGATACTCTTCGTGAAACTTATTCCACAGCATATTTTTTGAATTTTTCAGATAATATACTGGTTTATTTGTAATAGGATCGGTTTTGTATGAGCTTATTATAATATTGGCTTTGTCTATTAAAAAAGACCGTAATTGTGAATTTTTTTTTCTGCCATTTTTTCATGCCTAATTACAAGTTTTTTAGTGACTAATTCTCCAGGACTAAAAATACAAGCATGCTTTTGTGCAGCACAAATTAAATCATCCGAGACCTAATAAAATCATAGAATTAACAAAAAAAGTAAAATTTGACAATATTATAAATTCAACTGGTTACTCACAGCTAAGTTTTTTTTAATATCCTCATAGCTAAAATCATTAGCGATTATTGATAATACCTGTTGGTGCCTATCTATGCCATATTTATTAATATACAAGGAATCTTGAAAAGAATTCCAAAAAATATTTGTAAAGAATGAAGAAGTTGGCGTAACAAATCCAAGGTTATGTAAATTGGACAAAGAATTTTTATCACTGTCTGGAGTGGCAGACCGGGACCAGAACTCAAACTATTCAAATTTATTCTTGATAGTTAAGCTTATATATCTGATATAGAGGTGTGAATATAATACTATAACTTGTTATAATTGTAATGAGTTATAGCAAAATGCCATAACTCATTATAATTACAACAAGTTATAGTGTTGCACTTACACCTCTAATATAATATAACTGTAGCATTTTTGAAACTAAGGTTGCCTGCCGTAATAGGTTTAACAAGGTTGTAAAGTTGCAACCTTTCGTATTGAAGTTGTAATTTTTTGCCGTAATAG